ATGAACTTGAAAAATTAAGAGATCCAAAAGAACTTTTAAAAATAAAATTTAAACAATTAAATGATTGGAGTGATATTTATTGTTTCAGCACTAGGGACATGGTGTGACTCATATACGAAGTATGAAGTTTCGAAAGAATCAAAATATATGTTGTCATATAATTGGATTGGAGGAATGTGTTCAATTGAGAAGTGTAGTATTCCAAAAGATAAAGTTATAATTGAAGATGGGATGGTATTAAATGGATTAGCTGTAATTGAAGATGGAACAACAAAGAAGTGTTGTGACTTTGATGGAAGAAGGGATGACTTAGAGAGTTTTATACCAAATTTAATAAATCATAATTATTTCTATCAATCAGAAATATCTAATTATTGGAGTGGATATAGTGAATGTGATATAGCAGCTAAATCATATGTTATTCATGGAACATGTTTACCAAAAGAATATCATACTCCATATGGATATTTCAATGCTACTTTACTTCTTTTCCAAAATTATAACGTATGGACAACATTAAGACATTATAATTACATTACTGGTAAACAATACGTTTATTCTAAACAAAAAATTAATGACTTACTTTCTGTTCGTGGTTTCCTTGCTCCAGTTCAATGGAGATGTGAAAATCCTGAAGATAAACAAATGCTCACTTCAGTAAATGTCTGTTTCACTCCATCAGCAGATAAATTTTTACAAACTGAATGTCCGGAAATTACTGGACAACAACAATGTCCTGATTATTTCTATTTTGCAGAAATGCCACCAACTCCAAGAGAGACAAAATGTGCTTATTAAATTGAAGGCTTTTCTTTCTTGGTCTTTTGTTATTCTTCGTTAGTTAATAAAAAGAATATAATTTTGAAGTTTCATAAAAATAATAAATTAAGGATTTTTTATATATCCTTAGAAAAGCATTAGTTTTTGTATTAATATTTTTTATTGAATAAGACTGTTTAAATTTCATAAGAGAATGATGATTTGTTAGTATTAAAAAGAATAAATGATTAATAAAGAAGAATAAAATCTTAGATGATATTATTGTTACAAAAAGAGATAATTTGAAAACGTCGTATTAATGTAATTAAATTAAAGTCTATACAATGTATTATGAAAGTACTTTTATAAATAAAATATATTATTTTTAGAATAGAAGTAATGAAATTTATTATAATTTCTTTTAAATCAAATAATAAATAAAACTTAAATAAAAATCATATTATGGAAGTTTTAATAAACATAAATACTTATTAAAGAAATGGGTGTTGTCAATTTTTAATAAGAAGAAAATACAAAATATTAATTAAGTTAATTAATAACTTTTTTATGTTATAAGAAAAAATAGTATAATTAAAAAACAAATCATTTATTTTGATTAATAGCTCCTTTTCACTACTAAATTGGTTGCTTCCTCAAATAAAGTTTGAAGAGGAATTAGTCCAAATCGTTGATATACACCTTTTAATAAATTTAATTGTTCAGTTTTCGTAGAAGCATTAGAGAATTTGTTAGACCCTATGAATAATCTGATAGAATTTCTATAAAATTGTGGTACGTTCATAAGATTAAAAGTATCACAAGGAAGGTCTGCACCGATGAGTTTTTTTGGAGAACATAAAGTCTTAAAATCATAACATTCTTTTCTCTTACGAATTTCAGAAACAATATTTCCTAAAGTAAACTGGTTTGAGTCATGATAATATTTCCATGGCCAACACACCATCTGTATAACATCAATTCGACAAACATCAATGACTTTTTTAGCTATTTGAAAATTATAATCTAAATTTGGTATATCTTTACCTGGAAGAATAGTTTTATCTCTAATGATATTATCAATCACTCTATTAATCATATCACTTAATGGAGTAACACAACTAATATTATCAGAAATAAAGACAACAACAAATCCAAATTTAGATAATTCATTCTTAATTTGTTGTATAGGTTCATAGAAGAATTTAGGTATAACAATGAGGAATTGTTTAGGAGAAGTGTCGTGTATATTTTTTTTTAAGTACAATTCTTTAACATAACCGGCAATATATAATACCCATTGTTTAAAATCACTTAATTCAATATACTCTTTTGGTATAACTATATGTCCACTTTGTTGTAAAGCCATTCCATTCTTTTCTTTAGCAAATGGACTCATTCCAACCAATAATGGTAATAATGGTCCATCACCAAGTAATGCAGTTGCAATGCTTGATTGTACACTTTCTCTTGAGACAGTCATAGCTTCAGTAAAGTGTTGCTTATCAGTGACAATTTTCATTCTATTTGCAGCACTAAGTCGATAATCAAAAAGGTCAATAAAGACAGTTCTATTAACTGATATGTCCTGATAATATAACATCCCACGAACAAACTCTTCAACATCACTTAATAAAAAGTCTTTATTTTCAACATTACAAAAGTCAGTTTTAGTAATAAGTCCAACCATTTTTATAATTTCATTTAATTCTTCTTCGTTGACATCAATTTGGAATCTAATTTTACAATAATTTTTGATTGTGTCTAAAGTGACACATTTTCTTTCTAATAAAAGTTGATTAATAAAAGTTGTAAGTTCATTTTTTTGTATAGAATCGGTTATTATAGTCTTTTCTGATTCATTTTTAGAATTAGTCAAGTAGTTATATAGATTAACTTTAGTGTTTTGATTAATAAATTTAATAGGTGTTGATGATGCTGGTTCGAAATTTTCTATTAATTTGTAAATGAATAAATGGTTATTTAGTACCTCCTTAATAAATCCAGGAGTATCTCCTTCTATTGTACTTTCGTTAATATTATACTCATTCTTTAACAGATTAATATATGAATTAATAACTCCTGAAATAAAATTAACTTGGTCTGAACATTCAGTCTTAATAAAGAACGGAAAAACTCCTGGATATTGTAATGGTTCAACAAAAGGTTTAAAATATTCGTCCATTATCACCACAACATTACGATCAATATTTAAATGTGTCCTTACATTTATTGCGTGTTGTACAACAACTGTAAAATACCATTTTTGAAAATCATTTTTAGTGTAATAATACACAACCTTGTTATTATTATTCTCAGGAATAAAACATTCGTGAGCTATAACTTTTTTGGCCTCCTCAAAAGGAGGAAATTTTAGGAAGGGAGACAAGTACTCTTTATTTTTATTAATACAAATTAATGATGGAGACATTTTAATCTCTCTTCCATACCACTGATTAGATTGAGCATTATCATTCAAAGATATAATAGGAATTTTATGAATTAATTTCCATAATTGAAATCCAAATTCATCTAAACTTAAAACCATTTCATTGGGAAGTCCTTTAATAGCTTCTTGTAATCGCTCATTTTCCGCATTGACATCTTCTTTAGTCCCTTCTTTTTCTGTTATTGTTGTCCACTTCTTTGTCACATTAAAAGTATCCAAATCTGAAGAGTCAATTTCAACGATATTTCCACTTGTTTCCTCTTCGTTGAAACAACTTAACGAATTCGCAGAAATCAAAAAACCTTTATTTTGTGAATCTTCAATAAATCCTTTTATCTTAAGAAACACTTCCTTTGAGAATTTGGAATTTACTTTCTGCGTTGGTTTGTTGTCTTTAGACATCTGGAAGTTGAAAATTTTATAAGTTCTCTTTTTTAATTTTTTTTTACTAACTAACGATTTCGCTTAACGCACTGAAACCCAGAGTCAAGGTTATTGATAGAAAATTAATAACTTAGCGTAATATTGTTATAATGACAAAAAATTTAATAATGTTAATTCTCTAAATAAAGTATTACTATGAAAGAATTAAAAGTCATTAAATAAATAGTTGATAATAATAATCAATAAAAAGAATGACAACAAGACAATAGATGAGATTATTTCTTTTCTTTTAAAGGATAGATAAAATATCACAAAAAGAAAAAAGTCAAAAGAAAAAATCCTAAAAAGAAAAACATCCAAAAAAGTAAAAAATCTTTAAATTAAGGTGTTTATGTTTAATGTGCACACAAAATTATAATATTAAGCACTTTTGTTTCTTAGCTGGTAAATGTTCTATTAATTGTCTTGTAAGATATTCGAACATTTCATTAATATTTTTTTGAGTCTTTGCTGATGTTTCCATAAAATGACAACCATTATTATCTGCAAATTCTTGGGCTTGTTCAGTAGTAACAGTTCTATTATCTAAATCACATTTATTTCCTGCAATAACAATTGGAACAAATTTTTTTTCCATTGAATTTTTAACTTCATTAATATGTCCATAAATACTTGAAAGATCATTAAAAGTAGCTACTGATACAAGAGAGAAGACTAAAATGAAACCATCACCTTCTTTCATATAAAGGTCTTGTAAAGTTCTGAATTGTTCCTATTATTTCGTTAATATGAATTTAAAAACCCTTTTTTTGAAGTATAGAATTATATTACTCTTATTAGTTTAACTATAAAATAACAAACCGTCCCTGCGGTGTCATAAATTTCTAATTGTACAGTTGTTCCATCAATTTCAATCGTCTTAGAAAATGTTTCTTCGATGGTTGGATCATATCTTCCAATAAATGTATTTTTTACATACCTAGTGGCAATAGCTGATTTTCCTACTGAACCTGAACCAAGTAACACAATTTTAAAATGGTGTGTTTGTGGCATATTATTTATTAGATACGAAACAAGTTCTCTAATTTCTTTCAGTTCACTGTTTTTTCTATTTTTGGCTATTTAGAATTTCACTGGTTTTTCGATCTGGCATTTTATTCCTTTTAGTATCCACGTAATTCTTTAGTACTTTTTTATATTTTTTTTTTGGAATTAAAAGAAGAATTTGTTTAATAGTTTAATAAAATTTAAAACAATACTTTTTTATTAGAAATAATAGTTCTTTAACAATTTGAAAAAAATAAATAGATTGTTCTAAAAATACAATGTTGTTTCAAATAAAAGACTTCCTTTGTTTTAAATTTTTGTTTCTTATTTAATCATAAAAAATAAAATATTTATTTTATTTTGTTTAAATTAAAATATGTTTTAAATGTTCAACATCATCAGACTTCCAAGACCACATTAATGTGATCATAGAAATCATAGAATTAATTTGGTCTTTTTTCCATCCATTAGTGATTCTATTTTTTATTAATATTTTATTATAATAAAATTATAGTTTAAATAATATTATAAAACACAAACTCTTTTAAATAAAATTGAATATGTTCTGGTAATGAACACCATAAACAAATATTTAATTCTTCTTCATAATCTGCATAAAAATGTAGAAATGTAACTATTTCTGCTGTTTCAAAAAGATTAAATAAATCTAATGTAATTATTTGAAACATTTTATCTTTAGATGTTAATTTCCATGAAGCTAATGAAACTAATAAACATCTTGCAATTTCACTCCAAACAAGTTCATATTGTTTATAAATTTTTTTATAAATATTTGCAATAAAATGTGCTCCTTTTTCATCATTTCCAAATACAAATTGAATAGTTGTATTATCTTTATTAGAACCAGCTAGAAAAGATCCCATATCTTCAAGGTCTTCTTCACAATATTCTTTATAAAAAAAATCAATAAATTCTTGTTCATTCCATCCATTAAGAATTTTACACAAAATATCATATAAATATTTTTCAGTAGTTAGTTGTCCAAGTTCTTTTAAAAGTGTTTGTACTTCTTTACTATTCCATTTCCCTTCTTTTATATTTATTCTTTTTTCAACTTCTTCCCAATTTAATAAAATTGGTTCTTTCATTTTGCTTTGTTCTATTTCAATTCGTTTTCTTTCTGTTTCAATATCTTGTTTGAATTGATTATATCCATTTTCAAGTAATGTTATTGTTTCATCTACTAATATTATTACTTCACTTTTCCCTTTTAACTTAATAATATTTTTCTTTTCTTTATTATCAAATTCAATATTCCATGTTGTATCTTTACTTAATTCATATACTTCTTTTGTAATGTCTTTACTTCCTTTTTTATCATAAAAATATAATACCATTCCTTTCCAAATTAAATATCGTTTTTTCCATTTTTTATCAAAAAGTGTCACATTCCCTTCCATGTAATATGGTCGGTTAATTTGAGAAATTGTTTTCATTCTTAATTCTTCTAATCTTGCCTCACTCATCTTTGGTGCTGTTCTTCTTTACCTTTCATTTTTAAAGTTCATTTTATTTTC